AACTAAAAATACTACAATGTTCTCTTTTGGTTGGTAATGAGATGTTTCAATTTTTGTGTGTGTGTTAGGTCGAGCTCTTTGTTTGGCTCTTGCAGAGAAAGGAGTTTTTGTAACTGTTGTTGATTTCTCCGAGGAGAAAGGAAAAGAGACTACTTTGCTTGTTCGAACCGCAAACGCTAAATTCCATCCTGATATAAACTTTCCTTCTGCTATCTTTGTGAAATGTGATGTGACTAATAGAGGTGAGTATGTCATTTGAGAATGAGAATATAGACTTTGTCTTAGTGTTTGTTGTATTGATTGTCTTTAATATGAGAGCAGGAGATCTCGTTGCTGCTTTCGAGAAGCACTTAGCTTCATTTGGAACGTTGGACATCTGTATTAACAATGCCGGGATTAGCAATCCTGTACGGTTTGATAAAGATGACACTGATGGATCTAAATCATGGAAACACACCATTGATGTGGACTTGACTGCAGTAGTTGAATGCACACAGCTTGCAGTAAGTGTTTCACTCCTCTTCCCCTGAAGGTTTTTTCCTTACGTGTTCCAATTCACCATTGTCTTTCGATTTTGCGTAGATCAAAGCTATGAAAGCGAAACAAAAGCCCGGAGTTATCATTAACATGGGCTCAGCTGCGGGTTTATATCCGATGTCCTTTGATCCTATCTATTGTGCCTCTAAAGGTTTTGTTTTTATTTGTCTGTTATTATTCCTTTTCATATGTTCATTGAGTAATAAGATCTCTATTTTTTTTGTTTTCTTTATCCTAATATGTTACATGTCTACAGCCGGTGTCGTCTTATTCACTAGATCATTGGCATATTTCCGGCATCAAGGGATCCGCATCAATGTGCTTTGTCCTGAAGTAAGAAGAGTATCTGAATGTGTCTCAAGTTTCCTTAAGTTTTTTTACCTGAGTGTTTGCTCAATTTTTTGTTTCTGCACTTTTGTTGTGCAGTTTATCCGGACGGATCTGGCCGAACGTATTGATGGTTCATTCATTCAGTCAATAGGTGGTTTCATGTCTATGGACTTGTTGGTTAAAGGTGTGTGTTACATATATCTGCTGAAGTTTTCAGGCTTTCTATGTTCTGTCTTCATACTGAGGAAACTATTTTTGTTTTACGCTTTCTTTGACATGGTTGATTGGTAAAGTAAAATGTGGAGAGTTGTTTAACTGTAGTTAACTCTTTTTTATGGAGTGTTGAATATCCTCACCTTCATCTTCTATGATAATCCTTGGTTCATACGAGTGACCATTCAGTGAAATTTGTTCCCAATATAGCAGTGATACCTCCATGAGATCAATTTATTAATGAATTTTGTCATTTTTTGCTTTAGGTGCTTTTCAGCTTATAACCGATGAGACCAAAGCCGGTGCATGTCTATGGATTACTAACCGCAGGGGTTTGGAGTATTGGCCGACTGAAATGGAACAGGAAAAGTACTTGGTTGGTTCAAGTTCCAGAAAAAGACCTTCCTTTAAAGTTTCTTCAAAGTTTGAACTTCCACAGAGTTTCGAGAAAACGTAAGTTAATATAGGCTTATCTCCTCTTAAGACTACAAACACTGATGGCTTACTCTCTCCTTCAGGATTGTACACACCTTGTCTCATAATTTCCGTAATGCTACACGCATAGTCCGCGCACCACTTAAATTACCTATTGGACCACACCAAGTTCTCCTGAAAATCCTCTATGCTGGTGTTAATGCAAGTGATGTAAGATCTTGATATCTTGATTGTTATAATTGTTTGCTCTTTCCAGAATTTTTTGTTGCTTCTCTTATGGTAGTAGAACTAATAACAGGTCCTTGTTGTATAAATCATGAGCAGGTAAACTTCAGCTCAGGTCGTTACTTCTCCAAAAACAATGGTCCGAAGCTTCCCTTTGATGCTGGATTTGAGGTATATTTTTGTTCAATTCAACTTCTACAACAGTACAACTTTTGGTGGCTTTATCAGGTTTACATCAATTTTTCAGGGAGTTGGACTAATTGCAGCAGTGGGAGAATCTGTTAAGAATTTGGAAGTTGGGACTCCAGCTGCTGTTATGACATTTGGAGCATATTCCGAATACATGATTGTATGAGATTATTTCTTAAACTATATGAGCAAAATGTTGAGATTTTTGAAGCTTGAGTGATCATGTACTGATCCTGTCTTTTTGTGGATTTAGGTTTCTTCTAAGCATGTGCTTCCTGTTCCAAGACCAGATCCAGAAGTTGTTGCCATGCTTACCTCGGGATTAACTGCATTAACCGCCCTTGAAAAGGTCGTTATTATTCGTCTTTCATTTCAGTTATTCAAATTCTTTCTCTGTTGATGTTAGTTGACCTAAGCCGCACCATTACTGCTGGGGTGGGGCTATCATCTTCTGAGCTCGTCGCCTTATGCTACTTTTCAGTAGTACGCCTAAAAAAGAAAAAAGAGTCATTAAGCCGAAAAACTTAAAAGTTTGCCTTGAAAATTAAGTTCCATGCAACAATTTGTTCTTTATTTTCAGTGTCATTGTCTGGTTTCATTCCCCTCTCCGGTTTCTTTGTGAACAAGCTCTATCTGATATTCTTCAATAGCTAACTTTAATTATGCTTGACATTTTCGTAGGCAGGACAAATGAAATCAGGTGAAACAGTTCTTGTGACTGCTGCTGCAGGAGGGACCGGGCAATTTGCAGTCCAGGTATAAAAACCTGAAGTTAATTGTATGAATCTATTTTAGTTGTATTTCCTATAGTTTTGTTTGATTCTTGCAACTCAGTATGTCAAGTATTAATCATATTACGGTCTTCGTCCTCTGAATTTAACATATATCATCTCTATTTCATTTGTAAAAGTATTTATGCGAGCTGAAATGTAGATTTTGAGAGATTCTTTTCTATGAAGCTTGCAAAGTTGGCAGGAAATAAGGTGATTGCTACTTGCGGGGGATTAGAGAAAGCCAAACTATTGAAAGAGTTGGGGGTCGATCGAGTCATAGACTATAAAACCGAGGATATCAAGACGGTAAGTCTTAAATAGAAACTCTAGTCTCATTTTAAAAAAATTAGCATGTGGCTTATT